AGGATCTTCCCTTCTAGAATGGCTTCCTTATTACCCAAAGCCATGGACTTTCTTATGCCCCTGAGTCTGACACAGAGGAAAGGACTGGGTCTTGATGTCACATGGACCCGGGGTCTGGTCACATCCTTGAGCAAGTTATTTCTCTGCTCCTTGGGCCACAATTTACCACCAGTAAAGAGCAGCTGAACTAGATGATCTCAAGATTATCTTTAGCTTGATAAATCTTGGCTTTACATTGACTTATATAGCACATCGGAACTGTGGATTTTCTGACACTGATTCACAGCATGGTGAACAAACATGGACTCTGGAGCCAGACAGAAGGATGTCTGAATCCCAGCTCAATGACTTAGTGTGTCTGTGTGACCCTTGATAAGTGGCTTAACATCCCTGAATCTACATTGCTTATCTGTTAGAGGAGGTTACAATAGAAACCCCAAAAAGTTACTCTGAGGATGAAGCTGAATAATATGTTACATGCCTATCACATAGTTAAGGCTCAGTACGTGTCAGTTTCCATTCTCCATTTTCCCTCACCCTACATGCCCTCCTTTAGGTCAATGGGTCAGATATCCCCTGCCTTTGTCCATGGTAAGTCTGTTGGTCAGTGAACAAACCCTCACTGAGCTCTCTGGCTGCATGTTGAGATTGCGATTGCACTTGGCTCTTGCATTCAAGCAGTTTCAGTGTTGCCATGAGCATAGGCTGAAGATACAGGTACGGACAGGAGAGAGAGAGAGAATTCAGTCCCTAAAAAGAGGCAGACAATGGGCTGGGAGAAGTCACAAGAGATAGAGCTCACTTTGGCAGCAGCACTAGAATGGGCTTCCAGGAGGAGGTGACCCTTTAGAGGGCATCGCAAGATTTAGGCTTAGGAAGGTGTTTTACAGGTACAGGGACCACTCACACAAGGACTCCGAGTCTAAAAGGCGAAACATGCACTGGGAAACTACTTGTTGTTCAACTTGGCAAGGGCCCAAGCTACCCGGAGAAGAATCTTGGAGGAAGGGTCTGAAAAGGGATGTGAAGTTTTAATTGCCAAGGGCTTTGAGTGATGGGCAAAGGAATTTGGCCTTCACCCTTTAGATGGTGGGCTGCCAGGGAGAAGACTATGGGACTTTGTCTCTAGGCCAGAAGGTAATCCCACGGGGTGGGGGCAGTGCACCTGCTCCACTTTGTATTCTTCCCAATGCCTACCCCATGGGGGGTCACATAGGTGGCTTCCCTAAATAAATATGGATTTTTTGTTTTTTAGAACAGTGCTTCCCAAACATGAGTCTTTGGTGATCTTGTTAACATGGATATTCTGATTATATAGGCCTGTGACTCTGCATTTCTAGCCAGCTCCCTGGTGATGCCAATGCTTCTGGTCCATGGGCCACATTTTGAGTAATGACAACTGGATCAAGGGTGTCCTCAAAGCCTGTGAGTACCCTCAGGATCGACAAGAGACAACACTGTCAGGAAGATGGGGTTTAGATGATTTGCCTTTCTCTTCTCTTTCCTCCTCATCTCTAGGCTCTAGCTCCCTAAAGCCAGATTTCCTGTGTCCAGCTGCTTAGGACTCAGCTCCCAATACACTTCCTCACTGGGCTGCCCCTTTTAAGCGCTAAAGGTGCTGCAGGTCTTGTTTTCTGCTACTCTCACCAAAACTTATGAGTCTATAGGAGGTGAGAAGGGGAAGGTCACCTTTTGCTAAATCTTCCAGGGAAGTTCATGGAGCAGGTAGCCATTCAGCTAAGCCGGGAGGGATGCTGGTGAGTGGCGGGGCGACCCGCTGAACTAGCCTGAGCCAGCATGTTAATGCTAACAGGAGCCTATTGCCCATGACTCCCAGAACATATTCTTGAGTTCTCACTGGGACTTCAAGTATCTCAAAGCAAAGGAGTTAACCTAATGTTGGATATCATGGAAACTTTAGGACGAGATCTGGGACTTCTCACTTCACATCATGTAGGCACCTCTCGCCAGGGCTCAGCTCAAGTCATCCTCCTCCAGGCCTTTCTTCTCAGTTCCCAGAATACCCCATGCTCATCCACCATCAATCTCCCAATGATCCGCTTCCCCACTACACCATGAACTTAGTGAGGAGAAGCACCATGAAGAATGTGACTTTGTATCCCAGTGCCTGGCACATGGCGGTACTTCACAGTGTTGGAGGAATGAACAAGGAACCATACCCAGAGCCCATCAATGCATAGATAAATGGTTCTCAATTAGGGGGATTTTGCCCCTAGGGACATTTGGCAATGTCTTCAGATATCTGTGGTTGTCACATCTGGGATGGGGGGTAGGAGGTAGTTGCTGGCATTTGGAGGCCAAGGATGTTGCTAAATACCCTCCAGTCCACAGGACAGCACACACTCCTAGGGTTATCCAGCCCCAAATACCAATAGTGTCAAGGTTGAAAAGTCTTGGTGTGGGGGAACAGTGAGTAGGTAGACATGGTACTTCCAGGGGATATTTGTGGGGACACTGATAGCATCCACTAAAGAAACCGAGACCCAAAAGTGACTTTCTCCGAGTCACACTGAGTTAACAAAAGCCTGAAAATAGAAAATGGTCTTTGAACTCGTCAACTAGGGATTTTTCTGCCACCATGCTCCTCATAGTTTCTTCGCCCATGTTTTCATGTCTCAAAATCATCCTTGCCCACCTCCCTGACACGGTTTAATAAGTATACTTTAGTAGCAGAGGTGAACGTGTCTTGAAAAACACTGAATGGTCCAAATCTATGAGACTTTGAGCCCTTCATTGACAGAAAGACTCTGAACCTTTTTCTCAGAACTGTGTTTGTGGAAACAGCCCCACTCAAGAATTAATTTAAGAAAAATTGAAATGTTAAAAAATAAGTAAAGGCAAGCAACAGTGAGCTTGTAATAAGACACCTTGGGATGTTCATTATGCTGGATTTACGGACAGTTAAATTGGTTAATGCATTTCCCTTTGGCTTGCAGATCAATTTCAATGACTGTCGGGGACACTGTGGCCACCTTGTTATACATTACAGATTGAATGCCTCTGTGATACCGGCAAAGTCCTGCTCTCCAGGTAAGGGCTTGATTCAAGGACAGCAGAGTGGAGCAAACAGATGACTGTGCCCACCATTCAAGCTCCTGGGGGAGCCTCACTCTGGCTGTCTCACATCCTCTCATATGCATGCGGAGCCACCCAAACAAGCAGCTATATACATGCATGTGAAAATAATTTATATACTCAATTAACTATATCCTGTAATTAATTAATTCCTGTAATCAATTATTTCTTGTAATACAATGGCAGGGAGAAAATCATAGTGGAGGAGAGTTTGGGACACTGTCACTGGGCAGAATCTCTACAGCAGACATCCGAAGCGGGTGATTTCCACTCTTGTGGCCAGTCGTGAGGCTCAGAGCTCAGTGAGCACCATGAAAACCCAGCTGGGCCACAGTTCTGTGGAATGAAATCTAATTACTCTTTCGGTTTCCTTGTCTGTTAAATGCTAACACCCATCCTTCCATCCATCCTTTCTACCTCTTTTCTCTCATCAAGGTCCTGGTGTGTGCTTACTGAGCTAGGCACTGGAAATATAACTGGAGAAGAGTGAAGAAAGCGAAAGGATAGGTAGGAGCCAAGGACGGCAAGTCCACGGAGAGAGGGTGCAAGCTGGGTAAGAATCAGGTGGGAATATTATTCATTTGGGACAGGCCCCTGGGTCCAGATTCCACTTGTGAATTCATGGCTTTCCCAATGGCCTACAACACCCATGACATGCCCCACCCAGCCCCCAGTCCTCCTCCCTAGGCTGTAATCAAGGCCAAGCTTTCCCTAAGGCCCCCGCCTCCTTAGATGTCATGTCCTCCTGTATCTAAGGCATCCTTCCCATTTCTCATAGTTTTCTTTTCCACAACCTGCGTGGTCCCTGCCTTCTCCTTATGGCTATTGATGTTTCTATTGTGTTATTATTGGTTAATTTTTACATGGGTGCCTTGACTCAAAAGCTAAGCTGTAGCACTTCACACCTATTAGGATGGCTATTACAAACAACAACAACAACAGAAAAAAAAAACAGAAAATAAATCGTGGTGAGAAGGTGGAGAGATTGGAATCCTTGTGCACTGCTGGTGGAAATGTAAAATGGTGTAGCTGCTATGGAAAATAATATGGCAGTTCTTTAAAAAATTAAACACAGAACTACCATTTGATCTAGCAATTCCACCTGTGGATATATATATAAAACAGAAGTGAAAGCCAAATATTTGTATATCCATGTTCATTGTAGCATTATTCACTATAGCCAAAAAGTGTAAAAACCCAAATGTCCATCAATAGATGAGTGGATAAACAAAATGTGATATGTACATATAATAGAATATTAGCCTTAAAAAGGAATGCAGTTCTGATATATGCTGCAATACAGATGAACCTTGAAGACAGTATGTTAAGTGAAATAAGCCAGTCACAAATATTATATGATTCCATTTAGATGAGTACATGGAATAGTCAAATATGTAGAGAAAGAAAGTATAATGATGGCTTCCAGGGGCTGGGAGGAGCGGGGATTGGGAGTTACTATTTAATGGGTACAGAGTTTCAGTTTGGGAAGATGAAAAAGTTCTGGAGATGGATAGTGGTAATGGCTGCACAACAATGTGACTATACTTAATGCCACTTAACTGTACACTTAAAAGTTTCAATATTTAAATTTTTTTTTGAATATGTCTTCTCAGGTAAAGGCAACAAAAGAAAAAATAAATAAATGGAACAACATCGAACTAAAAAGCATTTGCACATCAAAGGAAACATCGGCAAGACGAAAAGGCATCTACTGAATGAAAGAAGTTGCTTGCAAATGATATATCCAATAAAGGGTCAGGAACCATACCAGTTATGCTGACTAGGTATAAAGAATGTTAACTAGGTAACTGAAAGGATAAAAAGGGAGGTAGTGACTGAAGGAAGCAGATACCACTTTTAGGGCCGGGAAACAAAGGAAAAAAGATTGAATTATTAACGCTTACTTAGAGATTGGGTCCCATGGAGCGGAAAAGTGAACCTCTGCGAAGCAGGTGCTGCATGGCTGCTGCTGGCATCTCCGAACTTGGAGTACAAGTGCACTGGGGTCTAGACTCGGACTCTGAGGAAGGGGTGCAATGAGGCTGTATCTGTAGGAAAAAAACAGCAAATACATTCAGTTTTGCTACTAGGAGGAATGGCCTCCGCCAGGGTGAAGGGGGGCTGCGGGACTGATGCTAACAGGAGCAGGAAGACTTGGGAAGGAAACAGAAAGACGTGCCTCCAGCCCCGCGGCCTCCCTCTAGCGCCCCCTATAGGCTGATTTTTGACAGAGAGCGTCTGGCAAAACGGAAATAATGTGTGTGGGTTTGCAGCTCCCATATGTATCAGAAAGGCGAGTGTAGAAGGGTGGGTTTGGAGCCGAAATGGTAGCCTAATAACTGATACAGGTGGAGAGCACCTGAATCCTGGAAGACATCAATAAGACACGGCTGCAAGAACCAGAACCACGGTCTGGTTCGGGTTCTGCAAGTAAAAAACCGTGGAGCTGCCTCACCTCAGATTTCCTGTCTTTAGAGAAAATATCTCCATGCATAAGTTGCTCCTGGTGGGCTTTCCTGTTACTGACCCAGCCACGGCCTTGTCTTAGTCAGCTCTGTTCCCCCACAGAGCCCGGCCCAGAGCTGCCATATTGGTAAACATCAATGAGATTAAATTGAAACACCACCACCTGCAGCTAGTGTGGTGGTGAGGGCGGGGGATTCTGACTCCTGGGTTGAATCTCTGCTCTTCACTCAAAATGCCATCTCAGGCCCATTTTCACTTTTCTTAGCTTCCATTTCCAAAACGGGAGCATTAGGAACAAGTTATCTCATTGGATCGTGGTGAAAACTAAGTGAGAGGGTGTGCATAGAGTGCCGATGTCCCTGCCTCCCCTACAGTAGGCACTCTGTTAGCTACTGTTCTTGATCATCAGCTCGCATGCTACTGTTTTGACAAATGAGCTTCAGATTGGCTTCCAAAGAACCCAGTTCCACCCTGTGTGCCTCACAGGTAGAACCAGACTCTGTGCCTTACCCACCTGGGCTCTGATCACTGGCTCAGTAACTTGCCTAGTACCTGCCCTCAGGCCCCCAGGACTCCTTCCTGTTTCTCTGCATCCATTCATCTTGACAACTTCTAGTTGCTATGGATCTATAGCATGTGCTACATGTCTGCCATCGGCCCGGACTTCCTTTCCTTGCAGCCAGCTCCGGTTCTGGTTCTGCATTATGCTTCATTCCCAGCAATCTTGTTCCTCTCCTCCCTCCCTAGACCCTCTCATGGCCCTCACAAGACAGGTCAGGGATGCTCATTTAAATGGTGCTGCTCTTCAGCAGTGTTGGCTTCTTAGGGCTGTTGTAACAAATAACTACACACGTGGTGGCTTAAAACAATAGAAATGTATACTTTCACAGTTTTGGAGGCCAGAAGTCTGAAATCAAGGTGTCAACATGGCCACAGTCCCTCTGGAGGCTCTTCTAGCTCCTGGTGGCCCCGGTCATTCCCTGGCTTGCTGCAGCATCACTCTGGTCTCTGCCTCTGTCTTCTCCTGGCCTCCTCCTCTCTGTGTCTGTGTGTCTTTTCTGTCTCTTATAAAGATGCTGTCATTGGATTGAGGGCCCACTGTAATGCCGCATGATCTCATCTCAGGATCCTTATCTTAATACATTTATAAAGATCCTATTTCCAAATAAGGTCCCAGGTGGCTACGAGTTTTGGCGGGGATCACTATTTGACTCACTACAAGTAGAAAAATCCAGATACAGACAGGAAAGCTGAAGAACTAGCTGTCTCCATCCAGACATAGGGGTTCCTTCTTCTGGAGCCAACTGTCACATGTGAGGCAACCCCAACATTTCAGCCCCTGTAACCATCCAGCTCCTGGCAGTCATCACTGCTAGACTGTCTCAGTAGGTTACATTATGCCACTCCTTGCATCTCACCTACAGGTTGTTGGTAAGATCTGTCTGTCAAAGCACACACTGTAAATAAAGCCATTTCCATTTGGGAACTGGTGGTAGAGTAAGGGGAAAAGGAAAAGAATTAAATAAAGGCAAAATCTTCATCATCCACAAAACAATACGCAAAAACCAGGGCATTCCTCCGAACCATCAATAAATAATCCAGACCACAAAAATAATACATTAGACAGCTTGTATAACAGTAGCATGTGAAAGACTGGAACTTTCTAAAATTAATTTTCTTCATTTTGGTTTATTAAAATTGCACTCATCTATCTCCCCTGTTAAATATTTTATTTTTTCATATTAATGGCTGCAATTTCAGCTTGTGCCTGTTTCTGTCATTAACACTGTACAAACTTAATATCATTAGTAGTTTTTCCCTTAATTATGTGACTAGAGAAGAAAAACATCAAAGTTTCCGTGAAATTGGAATAGTATATCTAAATTGCCTCATGTTTATTTTAACATTAACAGTAAATGAAGCTAATGGGCTTTTATATTATTAAAAGCACTCATTTGTGTCCTGCCTGTTCTAATATATAACAAAGCTTTAACAGATGTTAAATAATTAGTTATTTAATAACGATAGGTGGAATACATCAAACAAAAGGAAAAGTTGAAGGTAATGCACACAGTTAAGGGGTCTATCTGTTTTAGGGCTTTCAAACAGGATTTCCTCTCCCCAGGTGCCCTGCTCCACCATCAATGTGAGAGTTCTAATTTATAATGACCCTGGAGAGTAAAAGCAACAAAACCTATTGCTGCAGCCCTACAGAGGACATGCATGTTCCGGGGGGCAATAATGTTTGCAGTTATTTCTGGGCAACTTCCATTCATAATTCAATACCTGTGCAAGGTCCGTGTTAGGCTGGGGCTCAGAGGGCCTCTGCAGGAGGGAGGCCCTGCAGCTGTTGCTGCTGGCCCACCTCCTTCCTTAAAGCCTCCTTGCCTCCTCATAGCATGGTTTCCTTGGCTTTAGAGGATGCTGATGAATAAAGGCATTCTTCTGTGCTAGGAGTCCAGTGAGACCTAGGGAAGGACTCTGGCCTGTGAGTCTAAAAGAGGTGCCAGATTGTCATCACTCTCCCGCTCAAAGACCTGTAAGGACTCCCTGTGGCTTGCTCTGTCAAGGCCAACCTCCTTGCTTGTTGCTTGAGGCTCTACCTATCCAACCTTAGCTCCTGTTCTTCCCAAAATTTGTAATCTGTTCCATCTCACTGGTTTCCTGCCCAGGCCCAGCACATGAGAAATTGTCCTGTCTCCTCACTTTTAACCATGTTCTTGCCCTCACTTGAGACCACTTTCTCCTTTTCTTCTGCCTATCCAAATTCTAGACATTCCTAATAATTCAAATTCCAGATCCTACATTAGGCCACTCCTGGTCCCTCTGTCTCCTGAATTCTGGGCTACTTCTCTATCTATATCCTTCAAAATACCACTAGTTTCAAGGATAGGCTTATAGCGTTTGAGCCAATGATTCCTGATGAACTGATTGACTAGTTGCCATGGAGTTTCATTCTTCCTTAGAGAAATCTCTATTTTTTAGCAGAAGCTGAAGCTTAGAGAGATGAAGTAAGTTGCCGAAGATCATATGCTATTAAGTGACAGAAAAGATTTGAACTTAGGCTCATCTCCAGAGCCTGGACCAATGCTTTTTAATTAAGTAATCTCAGACATGAGAACTTGGGAGGACAAGGCAGCTATGTTGGGAGGAGACTAGCTGCTTTTGTCACTGCTGTGCTAAGGAGCTTGGTCTTCTTGAAAAGTTAGGTCTAGAAAGGGGAGAAATTTGAGATTCTTTCCTTCCATAGATTTAGTGATCCTTTGGGATAACAAATTATCCCAAACTCAACAGCTTAAAACGACAAACATTTATTGACTCATAGTTTTTGTATGACATGAATTTGGGAGCAGCTTAGCTGAGTGGTTTGGGCTCAGGGTCTCTCATGTGGTTGCAGTCAGGATGTTGACAGGAGCTTTAGTCCTTTAGGTGTTGACTGGGCCTGGGTGATCTGCTTCCAAGGAGCTAACTCACTTAGCTGTTGGCTGGAGGCCCAAGTTCCTCATCACATAAGCCTCTCCACAAACTTATTGAGTATCCTAATGACATGGCTTCCCCCAGAGCAAAAGAACCAAAGGAAAACAAAGAGGAAGTTACAGTGCCTTTTATGATTCGGTCTCTGAAGTCATACATCCATCATTGTTTCCACTTTATTCTATTTGTGAGAAACAAGTCACTAAGTCCAGTCCACATTCAAGGGAAGGGGAATTATGTTCCATCACTTGAAAGGAGGAATATCAAAAAATTGATGGACACCACATGATGGAACAGAGTTGGGAAAAAATCATGCAAACATACATTAAAGATACATATGCTGATTACAACTGCTTTCCCCCCAAAGTGTAACCATTGTCCTGACTTCTGTAATTTTATTTTCTTGTCTTTCTTTATAATTTCAGAAAAACCTAATCTGTATTCTTTAGTGGTTCACCACCAATTGGGAACTACTAAAGAATACAGATTGGGTTTTTCTGTTTTTTGAACTTCATGTAAATGGAATTGTATTGTAATGATTCTTTGGTGTTTTGCTTCTTTTGTTCATTATATGAATTTCATCCATGTTTTTGCATGTAGCTGTATTTTGTTTATCTTTTGTTGTATAAAGGCCATTTATCTTTATCTTTAATAATTCTTTTTGCCTTAAAGATTATGCTGTTCGACATTTATATGGCTATACCAAATTTCTTTCAGTATTTGCATGATATTTTTTTCCCATCTATTTAGATATATCTTTGCACTTTAAATGTTTTTCTAGTATTTTTTTTATTTTCACTTTCTTAGTATTACTAAATAGTCTGATAATATTTAGTTTTTAAACGGAACATTTATTCCATTTATATTTAATGCAATTTCTGACATATTCGGATTTATTATTACTAATTATTTTGTGCTTTCTATTTGCTCCACCTCTTCTCTGTCTTTCTCTTTTCCTGACTTTTTTGGATTAATGGAATATTTTTGATCATTCATAATTGCTCCTTGAATTGGTTTGAAAGATATATTCTGTTTTTATTCTTTTAATAGTTGACCTAGCAATTACAAAAACATGTATTCAAAACTCATCAATAGCTAATATTAACCG